TAGCTTTTCCTTTTCCATTTGAGCTGGTTTATTCCTGGGCTAAAAACTGCACATTATGCATAGAGTAGGAACTAGAAGAATTTCTGGCACCACTGAATGAATAGCCACAAAGTACCAGCCACCCAGAGACCAGACAACTCAGGGAAGAAGATGAGCAATGTCTGTCTGTTTCTTTCCCCTGGAGGGATACAAGAGGACAAGCACTTCTATTAGCAGAAGGTAATGAGATGGATCTCAGGAAGAATTTCTGAATAGAAAAGTGAGCTGAGTATCAGATTGGTAACTTAGTTCTTCAGTAACCTTCAGTCCTAAATGAAAAGAATAAGCAGTAGCCTCTTCTTAAGGTGTTAGGTAGAGGTATGAAGGAGGGTTGAAAAGTCCTCTGAAATCCTTATCATCTCTAACTCAATAGAAGGACTCAATAGAAGGACCTAAAGAAACAATTAGAAGAGATTTCCTTCCTGACTTCTTGGTGGAATCTAGCATCAGGAACTCCAGTATTTTGTTACTTACTGATGAATAGGATAGTTCTTGGGTTCTTTAGCTAAGATGTGTGGCCAAGTGGTCATTTCCTGGTTCACCAGAACCAGCTAAGCACATCTGCATACTTCCTTGAGTGCATCTCCCATTACTGGTTTTTGGGTGTGGCATCCATGGTTCATGTGGGACACATCATAGTCTAGAGAAAGAGGCAGAGCATTCACTCTCAATTTTCAGTGTCCACATAAAGACAGCTGACCCAGGGACTATTTTTGATTTCTTCACAAATCCTTTTATTTACTAGTCAAAAAATGTGAAAAGGCTTTGGTTTATGATCTTCAGAAAAGACTCAGTCTTGTCCGATGAAAGGAGATGGTAATTGGTATATTATCAAAAAGTGCTAATTTTTCTTCATTAGATAATAAGAATGACTCCATGGTTTAGGGTGAGCATAGTGGTCGCATACCTCAAAATATCAAGAATTTCCTTTGAAATCTTCTAGCTTCCTTTACTAAATATGGGTGCCCATTAAATAATTTAATCCCTATTTGAATAAACCCTGCCTATATCTTTAGCCTGTTCTACCTAAACTTTCTTGGGCTTATGTGAAGTTTTGTTTGTTCAACTTGTATTTCCCCTTTAATCACATGTTCAGGTCTTCTGTATGTGGTGAAATATATTCACTCCCCATTCTTTCCATGATTTTATATACTTATCATGTTCTCCATCAAATTTCATCTTTCTAGATAAGGAGTTTTCATGTAAGAAGGGGATGAATATAGAAGAAAGGGGAGAAAAATTATCAGAAACTTCTGGGGAGACTTTCCAAATATAATAGGTCTGCTTCCTCCTTCCTGAACATATCAAAACCTTGACTAGGGAAATTTGTATTTTGAGAATTTCCACATTTATTTCTAATGATAAACTCCCTCTACCCTATTATATTTGCTGTGTTGAACTGAAGAGCCATAAACTTTTTGTCCTTCATAATGCACTTCCTTTATTTCTGTGATAGCTCATGTTTGACATTCAGATGGAATAAAGTTTCCATTTGTTGCAGGACTGACCATGGTTGGGATTGCAATGAAAGTTTACAACCATAAAAATTAAGTTGGGACTTAACTGTGAAAGCTGGAGAACTAACAGACCCTCCTTTCTGCAGATCAACTATACAATAGCTTCTTCTTCACTTGCTTTCTCCCAGTGGTTTTCCCTGGAGATTCTCCAGAGTGACTAAAGGCAACCAGAGATGAAAGGAGCTAACAACAACTCCTTGGATGGCTTCATTCTGATGGGTGTATCTGACCATCCCCAGCTGGAGATGATCTTTTTCGTAGTCATCCTCTTTTCTTACTTGGTGACCCTATTTGGGAACTCAACCATCATTCTGCTTTCCTGCCTGGATTCCCGGCTCCACACACCCATGTACTTCTTCCTCAGCAACCTTTCCTCCCTGGACCTTGCCTTTACTACTAGCTCAGTTCCCCAAATGCTGATCAACTTATGGGGACCAGACAAGAGCATCAGCTATGGTGGCTGTGTGACCCAACTCTATGTTTTCCTCTGGCTAGGGGCTACTGAGTGCATCCTGCTTGTGGTGATGGCATTTGACCGCTACATGGCAATTTGCCGGCCCCTGCACTATTCCACCACCATGAACCCTCGGCTCTGCTGGCTGCTAGCTGCCATTGCCTGGTTGGGTGGCTTGGGCAACTCTGTGATCCAGTCAACATTCACTTTGCAGCTCCCATTGTGTGGGCACCGGAGGGTGGATAACTTCCTGTGTGAGGTGCCGGCCATGATCAAACTGGCCTGTGGAGACATGAGTCTCAATGAGGCTGTGCTCAACGGCATCTGCACCTTCTTCACTGCTGTCCCACTAAGCATCATCCTGATCTCCTACTGCTACATAGCTCAGGCAGTGCTGAAGATACCCTCGGCTGAGGGACGGAGAAAGGCCTTCAACACATGCCTCTCTCATCTGGTGGTAGTGTTCCTCTTCTACGGCTCAGCTATCTATGGGTATCTGCTTCCAGGTAAGACCAGCAACCAGGGCCAGGGCAAATTCATTTCCCTCTTTTACTCTGTACTCACACCCATGGTGAACCCTCTCATCTATACTCTGAGGAACAAGGAAGTGAAGAGGGCACTGAGGAGGCTGCTGGGGAAGAGAAGGGAGGTCAACTAAGAAAAGGGAAAACTCCATTGTTTACTGCCTCTGCATCTCTGCACATTCTCATTCTCTCTCCAGCCAGGTAAATATGAGGAATACTAACTCCAGTACAACCAAGGGATATTCCCAACAACCCTAAGCTGTTTGGACGTGATTAATGTTATTTCTAATGTTCTACATTTATTTACCAAAAATCTTACCGTGGGCTCAGATAACAGGGCAGATGTGTTATCAACAGCTCAGAAGCTGTTGACTTAGCACAGACCTAGCTCACAGTATCTGTTGTCTATGTGTTACTTATTACATATTTATAACATGTAATATATATTACATATTTACTTATTATTGTATTTCTAGAGAATTCTGTACTTTTCTAAAGAAATCACTTCCATTTGCAGTATCATATTAATGTTACTATAATTTTATAAAATCAAATCAGGTATTATTAACTTCAAATGAAAACCCAAACAATTCATTTTTGTACCCTATTTATCCACCATCTTCATACATATCTCTTTGTCTCTTCTCAATATTTCAGTCTATCCACCCATAATTCCATTCACATGTTCTTCTGTCATCTTGTTTACCCTCTCCTTTATGTCTTATTCTGTTTTCCTTTCTACCTCATCTAATATTTAATGAGAAAAGGTAGGAAAGACCATTTCATTTCATTTCCAGCCAAAAAGATTCATTGATATAGTTTTGTTTAAATTATCCCCCCAACAAGTCCCAGCCATCCTTTGCTACCAGTGCTTGGATATGCTAGTATGGTCAGTAGATTATGGGATGCTCTGAGATTCTGCAAGCAAGTTTAAGAGCCCAAGAAAGATCATCCACATATAAAGCATATCCTCTGCCTCAAGATCTAGTCTTTCAGCCATAAAGTTCCTAGAACTCATTAATCAGTCCAAAACACCATGACTCACATCAAGGAACTCAGGTATTGGAATTAGAATACCAATATGCAATTCTGCACATTACTTGAGGTGCTAAGGGAATCTGCTCCTGCTATCACAGTTCATTTACTCTTTCTCCAGAGAAGCTGGGTTAATATGAGAAAGTTGCTTGGAAACTACATTACCAGAGAAAAGGAAATCAATAGGTTTTAGAGCTAGTTTCTAAAGAGTTTTTAGCTTTGTGCCACCATAGCACCTACATGAATGCCTCATACATAGTAGATGCTCAATAAACACTTAGTGAATTGGCAAACCTCATGAGTCCCCTTTTTTCACAGTAGGAACTAAATTTGTCAAATGAACCATTTTCATGTTTGCCACTTTGGAGCCATCCCGTTCTTTGGGCAATGCTGAACAATGACAAATTTCTCCTTTTCCACATTTGTATAATGCCCCCTAAAGACATCTTGTCCCATTCTGAATTTATTTTTCCACTTGCAGGTTAGAGCCATGATCTACTTGCTCAATTCATTACACAGTAATACTCAAGTGTCTCTAGGACTACCTGACTAGTGACATTATCTTGGTGAATTTGTCAATACAGAGTCTTGCAGGCTCAGATTGTTTATTGATCAGCACACTCCGATTAAATGAAGTTCTCAGGAGATAGAATGCAATGACCAAGCTCCTAAAGCTGATATATAAACTAGAATATCAGTTGATTAGTTTATGATAACTGTAACTGCCAAGAAGACTGAATGATCATATCCTCTAGTTAATTCATTTAAGTTGCAAGATAACTTGGAAGAAAATAGGTATTCTTCAAACAATTTGGAGTTCTGCAGAGTCTCCCTATGGAAAGTAGAGGACCTTTTGAATCTAACTTATAGTTAGAGGAGTGGTTGAGACACAGAATTAGAGGGAGGAGAAAAAGCATGGGGCATGAATGCATCGTGGGGATCACACATGACATCAAAATGCACACATGTTCATGTTCCATTCTTAATGGTGTGCATGAAACAAAGTCAAAAATTGGGAGAAAGCAATTAAATGTGAGGAAATATCCTTGTTATTAAGGGCTTTGAAGTTCTATTTGCAGGGTTACAGAAGAAAAAGCATGTTCGGTGTCTAATTCAAATGGAAATTCAAAAAATGAAAAACAAACACCAAGGCCTATAGAAGGTTCACCAATCTTAGTGAAACAGAAATGTATTTGAATATGCTAGTCTGGTCTGTAAATTTAAGAGCATTTAAGAGCCTGTATCACAGAGCCCTTCAATACAGGCTATCTAGAATACTTGAACCAAATGACCAAATTTGGAACCTGCCAAATGAAGGAAGTCAATCCTTTTTTCTGAATTTACAGCCTTCAGGCTCAATTTCATGGCTGTGGTATAGGAGATGATGGAATAAAGGAGTTGGTGAAAAATAGGATTTGAAACATGACATTGGTGTTCACTTTAGCATCATGTATCCTAAAATTAGACCAATACAGAGAAGATTAGCATGGCCCCTGTACAAGGGATGACATGTGAATTCATGAAGCATTTCATATTTTAGGGACTACATCAAACTAAAATTTTTTGTATAGCAAAAGAAACCATCAACAAAATGAAAAGACAACCTACTGAATGAGAGAAGATATTCACCAATGATACATCTGATAAGGGGTTAATGTCCAAAATTTATAAAGAACTTATACAACTCAATACCAAAAAAAAAAAATCCAATTAAAACGTGAGCAGAGGACTCAAATAGACATTTCTCCCAAGAGGATATACAGGTGGCCAACAGACATATGAAAAGATGCTCAAGGTCACTAATCATCAGAGAAATGCAAATAAAAACCACAGGAGATATCAAGTCACACCTGTCAGAATGGCTATCATCAATAAATCAACAAACAACAAATGTTGGCAAGGATGTGGAGAAAAGAGAATCCTTGTGTCCTCTTGGTGAGAATGCAAATTCGTGCGGCACTGTGGAAAACTGTATGGAGGTTCTTCAAAAAATTAAAAATAGAACTACCTTCTGGGTATTTATGTGAAGAAATTGAAAACACTAATTCAAAAAGATAAGTGCACTCCTATGTACATGGCAGCATTATTTCCAATAGTCAAGATATGGAAGCAACCTAAGTGCCCATCGATAGATGATTGGATAAAGATGTTGTGGTACATATATTTCAGTAAACCCAGGAAAAAAGAAAAGAAGTTTTGGTACTTATATATAATAGAATATTACTTGGCCATAAAAAAGAATGAAATCTTACCATTTGCAACAACTTGGATGGACCTAGAGGGTATTATGCTAAGTGAAATAAGTCAGACAGAGAAAGACAAATACTATATGATCTCATTTGTATGTGGAATCTAAAGAATAAAATAAACAAACAAAACAGAAACAGACTCATAGATACAGAGAAGAAACATGGGTGCCAGATGGGAGGGAGATCGAGGGGCTGGGTGAAAAGGTGAAGGGATTAAAAAGTATAAATTGGTGTTTATGAAATAGTCATGGGGATATAAAGTACAGCATAAGGAATACAGTCAATAATATTATAATAGCTATGTATAGTGTCAGGTGGGTACTAGACTAATCGGGGGGGGGATTACTTATTAAATTATGTAAATGTCTAACCACTATGCTGTACAACTGAAACTGATATATAACAATGTTGAGTGTCAACTGTAATTGAAAAAGAAAAAAAAAAGGGACTTTGGTTTGGTGAGCTTATGCTCTAGTATGTGAGCTCTAAATTATAGACTAATTTGGAAGCTCCATTAATGATTTGGTGAAAAGGTCCAGTTTATTTGACTATATCGATGATTTGACTGTATCAGCTTTGCTGAATGCTTTCCATGTGCTAGGTTATGATCTAAACTTTTTACATGAGTTGACTCATTTCTCCCAACAATCTATACCATCCTCATTTTAAGATGAGGATATTGGATTGCAACAGGAAGCTTGCTCAAGAGCACACAGTGGTAGGGCTGGGAAGCAAACTCAAGTGCTCTTGACTCTAAAGCTTGTGCTTTTTCAAAATATACTTTTTCTTTTTTGAAATAATCACAAACTTACAGAAAAGTTGGAAGCATGATACAAAGGACATTTCTCCCTGAATCGTTTGAGAGTAAGCTGACAACTTCAAGCTCTGTCTTCCCCAAATATCTTAGCTTGTATAACAAGGGCATTTTCCTACAATATCACAATATAGCCATCAAAATTACTAAGTGAACATTAACTCATGATATTGCCTAATTCTCAGACCCCATTCAACTTTTGCCAGTGGTTCTAATGTCTTTCATAGCAAAAATATTCTGTTCAGAATCACACATTTCACTTAATTGTCATCTCCTTTTAGTCTCTGTCAGTCTGAAATTGTTCCTCAGTCTGTTCTAAACTTTCATGACCCTGAAACTTTTAAAGATCATTTTCCAGCTATTTTATAGAATATCCCTCAGTTTGAGTTGTTCATAATTAAATTCAGGTTATGCATCTTTGGCAGGAATACCACAGAACTGATGTTGCATTCTTCTCATTATAACCTATCAGAAGGTGCTATGCACTGAATTGTGTCCCCCACCACAAATTCATATGTTGATGTCCTAAACCTCAATGTGACTGTATTTGGAAACAAGGCTTTTAGGAGGTAATTAGGGTTAAGTGGTATAACAGGGTGGGCCCCTAGTCTAACATGATTGCTGACCTTATAAGAAGAAAAGAGATCTTTCTCCATCTGCATTGAGGAAAGGATGTGTGGAAAAAGTGGCCCACTGCAAGCCAGAAAAGAGACCTCACCAGAAACTGAATTCTGATGGAAACTTATCTTGGACTTTCCAGCCTCCGGACTGTGAGAAAATTATTTACGGTTGATTAACTCATCCAGTCTATGGCATTTTGTTATGGCAGCCTGAGCAGAATAAGACAGGTGGTATATATTTCAATTTGTCCAAATAATAATGTTTCTTGGATCACTAAATTAAAGTGGTATCTGCCAGGCTTTTCCATTATTTTCCACTTCATAATCAATAAGCATTTTATGGGGAAGTACTCTGAAACTACATAAATATCTAGTTACTAATTAATCTCAATTTATTCATTTATTTCTTTACATCTTACAGAATCAAGTTTTCCTATTTCATTCAATGGCTTATAACTTGTTACTATAATCATATTGTTGCCCCTTCTTTGATCAGTGGGAGCTCATTCAAGCTGACCTTTGTGTTTTTCTTACTTGCCCCCATATTCTTTCAGCATTTCCTTGCTGTCCGGAACCACAAGATGTTCTATGCTTATCTTTTAATAACCCTGACACAGCCCAGCCATTTTGTCAAGGAGCCCTGGTTACTTTTAGTGGAAAATGGTATTTAGAAATCAATTTCTAGTTACTGAGTGTCCTCATTACTATTGGGGTGAACTGGTCCCAGGTAATCTCTGTAGACAGAGGTGGGATACAGATAAGATATGTATAAATACAGGCATAGACAGAGACGCTTATTTATTTCTATCAGAAAATTTAAAAGTCTAATAATATCAAGTATTGACATGTAAAAATATGTATTTATATAAAACACATATTTCTGACTTTCCACAATACACACACAACAGGTTTTTTTACAGTTATTTTTGTCCATGAGTTTTATTCCATTAGGGATGCAATCAATAAACAGTTTTAAAAAGTTTTCCTACACATTAGAAATAACCAGGTGGAATGAAGATCTTACTGACAAAAGAAACAAAAATAAAATAAATTCCTGGAAATTAATTTTAGAAATGTTCAGGACCTATATAAACAAAACTATTAGACTTTACTAAAATTGTCCTAAGTTGATAAAAACGTACATCTCCAATTTTTGTGTTGGGAGAAGAAAAGTGACTTTGGTTTGGGACCTTAAGCTCTAGTATCTTTGTGATGTATCCCAAAGATAGTATTGATTTCTTTTTTTGGTCGTTGGGAGAGGAAGGGAGTAGAGACAAGAAGAGCAAAGACGTTAAATTAAAAGGGACACTCTTATTAAAGGAGATGCTTAGACCCCAACAACTGTGACAAGCACACGGCCAGCATTGTTTTTTTCATTGTTGTCATTTCCACATTTGCAAAAATGGTGTGAGCCCAGCCGGGTTTGGTACAAGGACCCATCCAGTAATAAAAGAAAAAGTGCCTTGCAAACAGAACAGCAATAAACCAATAGGAAAAACTGACAAACGCCCAGATCCAGGACCCTAGTTCCCAAAGAGCATTATTGGTCCCAGTGGATTACGGAGAAAGAATTCTATTTACTCACTGGCAAGGCCTGCTGTCGACTATCAGAAGGCAACGGCGGCCCTTTAATGTAGGAACGTGAGCCGCTCTTTCGGCTTTAGCACTTGCGCGTGCGTCTGGGCTTTCTGTGGTCTGTGCTTGCCCCGCGGCCCCTTTCGGCCTACCGCGAAAGGTGATGCGGTAGGTGAGTAGCGGTTGTGAAGCAGTCTTTTACTGGCTAGGGATCTAGCGATGCCTCTCCGTCCTTTACCGTGCCCTTCCCTCTGGCGACTCCAAGTGGCCATGGACCGGGACCTCCTACCTCAGTCTAAGGAGGCGTGGAAACGTGGTGGCCCGGAGTGTCGGCCCAGTGGCCATTCGGATCTCTACCCGTCCGGTTTCCTGGTGACGAGTCCTTTGAACGGCTTTGAACCTCTTGAACTTGCAGTTTACGCTAGTAAAACAGTCGTTCACTGGGGCCTATTGCGTCCTTGTGAGCCCTTGTGCTGGGCGATGGGGACACGAAGACAACTCAGGCACTCCTCTTGCCCTCTGCTCCCAAACTGGTGGAGTAGATAAATCCACCAGAAACAAATTCTGGTGTTAGGTGGAATAAGATAAGGCTCCCTGAGACAGACTTACAGGCAGGGCTGAGGGGTTCAAAGCATTGGGAGGCCTCCAGAAGGTGGTGGTGGTGGTGTTACTGGTCCTCGTTGTAAAAGTAGAAATTCTCCAGTTTCAGGGAGGTGGTATCTCGAGGCGCCAGTCCCCAGGGAGAGCAGTAACTCAGTTACAGGGAGGTGATATCTCCAGGTGCCAGCCCCAGGAGAAGCGCAACATTCCAAGGTGAAGATGATAAAACTATCTATTAGGCCCTGTTTGATCTGAGAGTCCCCCTTCTGTCTATTAGGCCCTGTTTGATCTGAGAGTCCCCCTGATACATTTATCTTTGTATGAAATGTTAACGGCTAACTTCTGCTTCTTGTAATCTGCTTATTCAAGGATGTAGTAGGAGGCTTTATAAGCTTCCTCCTCTGGAAGCTCGGGGCTGATTTCCTCTAACCCTGCGTGGTAGAGAGTCATTTGCTGGCCGGCTAATAAAGGCTCATAATTAATCCCAATTGGCTCCGTGGGTCTTAGAATCATTCACGCTATAATACTCGTCCCATGGATTTCTTGCTTTCTTCGGTGTTGCACTCCTTGAGAACATAAAATTTTTCCTTATTTCTACATTTCTAATGCCTAGACTCAAGTGCGCCCTTCCTATTCTTGTTAAGAGGAGTAGACACTGGCAGCCCTTCGTATTCAGTGTCT